ATACTTGAAGCTGATTGTCATGCATTGAGTGATACTGAAAATATCAATATCAAAGTAACTAAAGTAAACGGTTTAGGTACTACGGATTTACTAAAATGCATTGATTTTTTTAGGACAATGGGGTGAGATCTAAAAGAACCATTGATGAGATAAGCTACCTCGTGGACGAAGATGATACAGAATGGTAAAAAGCTGTCAAAAATTAAAAAAATTAAAATACCCAGAAGCTTAATTTAAATCTACCTTTGTTAGCGCTTACGTAGACGAGGAGTCTGAGATGACAGAGGAGGAGTTTCTTACAATTGATGAAGATGCAAGCAAGATTTTAAAGGGTGGACTATTAGACAAGTATCTCGAAAAGATCCAATTTGAGTGTGACACAAAAAATCCATACAAGAGTAGCACATATTGGATAAACCCACCAATGGCGAATTTCGCATTGTCAAACGATCTTAATCCGGAATCACTATATCTGCCTAAAGTGTTCATCTGGTTGCCACATGGATTGATGGATACAAGAGACAAAATGTTAAAATGCTTAGTTCCTGGATGCTCCAAAAATTTAAATAAGAAGGGATTCTTAGACAATCCAAAAGCCAGAAAGATCGTAGATATTCATGAGTAAGTTTTTGTGTCCATGTAAACATCATTATTTAATCTACTGTGACTAACGTGCAAAATTTCAGAAACTTTTATATCATGACATATCGTTATGAGTGTCCCAATAAGGAACATGGTACCTGTGTTGGCTATGACAGAAAAGTGATTGAACAGCTGCCATATAGATTTCAACTTGATTTTCCCGCACATCTGACCCATAGATCTGGAATTTCTAAAGATTTGGGTAAACTGTTGAGAGCTGGTGCTCAAAACTCTCTTGGGCCTAGCAAAGTCAGTCGGGTGCTTAGGGAATTTCATGGGCTTAGACACGATGAGTTAGAGCTTCGATATCTGGATGCGTTAAGATACCATAAAACTAGCACCATTATGGGAATGTGGAATAAGAAAACTGTCAATCCAGAGTTCTCTCCCTTCAACGACAAGGAAAGATATGCCGGCTCTGTCCCTTCAGCTAGCTATCTTAGCTTTGTGTATTGCTCAATTATCAATGACCTTCGACCTTTTATGGATCAAATGATTTCGTCTTTGGGAGGAGAGATTCTTAAAGCAGATCATTCATTTAAAATTATCGATCATATGGGGAAAATCAATGGCGTTCCTGTGTTTGGTGCATTATATACTGTATGCAACGAGTACGAAGAAATTAGGGCTCAGGCGTTGGTACCTACAAAAGCTCACAGTCATCTCAAGCCGGTATGCGATAGTTTGATTCAAAGCTACAATATTTACGGATCTGATCTTCCAAAATTTATTTTCACCGACAATGTCACAGTTGATCAAAAATTTCTTGAATCTTTTTTTTTTTTTTTTTTGTATTAACAGTGAGTTTATTTAGCAAGTTAGATATAGAAGTAAAAAAAGGGAAAGCTAAACTATTTCGGTTTAGCAACCTTTGTCTTCGTAAACATTTTGTGACCTTTAAGAGCATGTTGCGTCTGGACAACTAACTTAGGAGCAGGACCTTTGGAGTTTTGCTTGATAGCCTTCTGTTTACCCAAAATGGAACGCTTTTGTCCTAGCATTTTTCTTCCACCATCAAACATTTTACCAGCCAAATGGGAAGTCGGAACTGTCACCGGTAATGTACCCTCGTCTTCTTCAATTTCCATGGACACCGTTTCTACTGTTGTGGCGTACTTAGACGTTGAAGAACCACTTTCAGCAATCTTCGAAGTCTGGTACGCATCTGACAGGTCTGTATCAGAATCGGAGATAACCTGTTCAACAATCGTAGGCAGCTCGATATTAGATTCCTCCTTAGGAGTATGGACTTGCACTGGCTGAAACGTTTTCTTTTTACAAAATTTCGCGGTATGACCATAACCTTGACAAGCGAAGCACTTGGTTTTTGCCAATTCCGGACATTTGGAGCGTATGTGACCGGCGTGGTGACACCAATGACAAACGATAGGGGCACCTTTGAAGGATGCCGAAGCAAAACAATCCCATTCGAACAAATATAAATTATTCGACAGCGGCTCATTGGCATACTCTCCATTATCATCATCAGAATAACCGGTAGTCGTATCGAGTATCAGTGATAATTCGCCTTCGAAATATCCACCACAAGTGTACTCCTTGACTTGCAAGACTTCTCCGTAAACAAGAAGAGACCTCATTAACTTTTCAAGGAAATCCTCCTTATCAGGAATATATAAAAGTGATATCTTCACGTGGGCAAGCTTCTTCACTTCGCTATCATTTGAATGAGTTCCTTTGATAACGGTGTTCTTGATTGTAACACCAGAAGAAATTGCCTTATCAAAACTTGAGTCATCAACAAATTTGGCTTCAATCAAATGATCACCATCTAAGCTGGAACCATAATTACTGATTGGGCGGAAACCATGGACAGGACCACATTGCGTTTCAATAAGCTTATATGCTTCGGTACGATGTTGGATTAACGAAGCAGGAATGGAGAAAAGAGCGGAGTCAGGTGTCAAGGCCTGTTTCACTATTTCGGTAGCCTTCTGCATTCTGATGAGGCCTTCAAGGTCTTCACTTTGGTAGATGACCTTACTTTGTAACTTGAATTGAGAGTCCACATTTTTAGGGACAGATAAAGGACGAACAACTTTCTTGGAATTACCACGGGATACGATTGTTGCCCAGGAATTGTGAAGATTTTCTGCCATTGTTTAATAATCCAGAAAGAAAATTAAAATTGGAGATTGAGAATTGAGAATGTTGAAATCTTTGCCGGATTGGTTAAATGTCGCGATAAACGCTGAGATCGAAGAGATGGAGGGGAGCGTAATAAATAAAAAAGATAGAACCGATAGAGAGGAATCGAATGCAATAAAAATTTCTGATGGATGTATAGAATTCACCGAGATATCGTTGAAACAAGAGTATGGATGCAAATACCTTTTGTAAAAATTCTTTTTAATCAGCCGAATAAGCGAAAGAAAGCAAAAAAAAAAAAAAAAAAAAAAAAAAAAAAAAAAAAAAAAAAAATTTCTTGAATCTGTTGTTCCAACATTGAAGGAAAACGTGCAACATATACCTCGAGGCAATGTCAGCAGAAAAGGAAAAGAAAAAGAAAATATTCATGACACTGCTCCTAATAACCAACATGCTGAAAATAATAATTTGGAAATTTTTGATAATGATAATTATTTATCAAGCATAGACGCCGAACTTTCCACATACACAATTCCAAATGATGTCAAAGTTGGTGTTCTTGATACCGCAACAGCCATAAATTCAATAGTCAATGATCTCCTGAGGGTTGCAAATGATCAAGGTACTTTGTGTGTTGGATTCGATTGTGAATGGTACTTCAATCGCTCGCCTTTTGCAATCGGAAAAGTTTCCTTAGTACAGATCGCATATGACACAAATGTCTGGCTGCTGAGATTAAACAAGTTTGATAAGAATAGCTTACCTAGCTCATTAAAAGTTTTCCTTAAGTCAGAAGCTATCATCAAAATTGGACGAGCAGTAAGTGGCGATCTCAAAAAGTTAGAAAGGGATTTTGAATTGGAAGACAGTCACGGAAAATTGGAATTGGACAGTTACTGTAAGACTAAAGGTGTCATAAACAAGGCTACTTACGGACTGGAATATATTTGCGCGGCCGTTTTGAAAAAGAAGCTACCAAAAGACAGTAATACACCAAGACTAAGTGATTGGAGTTCAACAAGACTGTCAGAATCTCAGATTACGTATGCTGCCAATGATGCCTATGTCTCTTTAGAGATATTCAATACTTTGCAACATGTTACAGCAGCTGGTACCCAGATTTTTGAAAATCCAAAGCCTGGCATGTTCGTCTCGATTCATCTGAAAGGGAGTAAGCAAGTCTGTGCCTTTGGTGTCACTATAATTCCTGGTAGCAAAACAATTAATTTGAAGAATAAGGCTTGTTTGAAGATCAAAGACGTGTGCATCCCGGGTACAACAGTATTGGATTCTGATGGCGATGCTGAGAAATGTTTCGGAGATTACGGAGAACCCCCTTTTGATGTAATTATTGATTTAAAACACTTTCAGCTTTTTACTGCCAACGAAGAGGCCTATAAATCTACGCCGGTCACTATTATGCACGATCATGGAACGAGTTCATCCAGTGAAGTACGAAGAAACACTAATGAATTTAACCAGTTGCCTTCGAGGGTCTTAAAGGACGTTTTTCATCTTATGGATATGATACCCATCCAAAAAACACATGGATTCTCAAAAGAATTTTCACGCAAGTTTAGAGATGCTATGTTTGTTAATGATTTAGAAGATGAGGCATTGGTATCAGCATATTTAAGAAGCCAAAATACGACTATAGAAAAAATGATGGTCAAAAACCCTGACTGGGTCCTAAAAAGAGTCAGACGATATGTTCCATCTCCGTCTGCTCTCTATCCCGTTGTCAAAGGAATCTTTGATTTGTACGGTAATGCTGTTTGTTCAGTCAGTGGAAACAAACGTTTTGATAAGAAAGCTTGGAAAATATCGAAAGCTGTTCTGGATACAATTAAACTCGGCCATGTTTCTGATCCACCTGGAGTATCTTGGTATTATTTTATTGTTAAAGACCAAAATGGGCTGCCCGTCTATCGATGTGTAAGGGGAACCAATTCTGTGGAAGGTGGGGTACACCAAAATATAATCCGTAAATTTGCCTCGTTCAATGCTAGCCCAGCATTGACTGATTGTGCGTTGGCGGACTATCGTCTACGACATAACATGACTGTAAGTTATATTGAATGATGTTGTTACCTAACTTGTCGCATAAAAACAATGTAATTAACTTTTTTTTTCCTAGGTTGGCTCGAAAAATAGGTATGGAATTACCCATAAAACTCATTTCTCTCCCTGGATAAACCAGGCAATCAAGTTTCTCAGGGCTGAACTTAAACAAAACATTATTCACTCGTATTGCGATCCTTTGGGTAATTCTTTTCTGCTTGTCTCTACATCAGAAACATTTGGTATATGCCACATTCCAGAACCGCTCCTTGAAGCTTACGATATGAAAAACAATACGAGAGAATTTGACAATGAAAATCTTCATAGAAGTCTCTCTGTCAAAGAAAAAATAGTTTTATGCGTAAGTGCTACGACACAATGCACAAATAAGAGCAAATCAATTTTTGGTGGCCTACAACATCAATACCTATGTTATATGCAAGGCACTTCTTATGCAGTTACACCGATTCACACAGATGAGGAAGTAAAATTATATGAACAACTAAGAAAACACAATCCGTCTCTCGTTAGTCAAGCCGTATCCGAACAATGTTGGCAGGATTTTACCATTTTATGGTCTCGAGAGTGTAACAAGGGTATAACTAAAAACATATTCTATAAGCTGCCCGAAAATTTGCGTCAATATTTCAAGGAAAGAGAAAATCAAAGCAGATACCTCAATTCTGTTCTTCTAAACAAAGAAACAGTTGATACAGCAACAGAACTGATTCAGAAATCTCAGCAAAAAATTTCACTTGGAAAAGCAACCGATTTCTTACAATTTCCAAACCAGACATCCAGAGACGATACTAACCAAATACATATGAAAAACAGTACACCTTCATCCCCTAGATATAAAAAAACCTCTATGCTGCTAAAACCTAGAACTCAAAAATCTATGGTTCCTTATTTTCTTCCTCCACCCCCTTCTTCTGTCCCATCTAACTTTATGCTACAGAAACTTATGCCACAAAACTCTATGCTACAAAATCTTATGCCTCCAAACTTTATGCTTCCAAACTATATGCCTCCAAAACCTATGCCTCCAAACTTTATGCCTCCAAACTTTATGCTTCCAAACTATATGCCTCCAAAACCTATGCCTCCAAACTTTATGCCTCCAAACTTTATGCCTCCAAACTTTATGCCTCCAAACTTTATGCCTCCAAACTTTATGCCTCCAAACTTTATGCCTCCAAACTTTATGCCTCCAAACTTTATGCCTCCAAACTTATGCCTCCAAACTTTATGCCTCCAAACTTATGCCTCCAAACTTT